AATCGTCACACACAAATACATCACACGCACACATGTGGTGATATACAGCGTGTGCAATAGAATCTGCTTGTGGCTTGAACCAAACTGCAATCAATAAACCAGGCCTTGATTTTCAATTAGGTTTTTTTTTTTGGCCTGCGGCGCAGTTCCCGTCGGAAACCGGCATGCCGGGGATTACGTCAGAGAGTCTAACGTGAACTACGCGGTAGCCCCCGATCCTCCCCCTTACTCTGTGACCACACAGCATTATGTTTCCAGTTTGGTTTCAAAATAGCAACGAAGGAGACCAGTGTAAAAAACAAGGTTTCTTTATAATTATAGATCTGATCATACTGAAGAGGGTTCGGGCAGACAATATAGATATGAATCTAAGTAGGTCAGACAAAATGAAGACGAATAAAACATCAACAAGCTTTGGCCTCACACACACTGTCAAGCGAATGGTACATGTGTTTGCCAGCAAAAAAAAAATCTTGTTCGGAGAAAACGCTTGGGAAAACATGTTTTTTTACTTCCATATTTACGTTTGTTTGTTTGTTGCGTTGTTTGTTTGAGTGTGTTTGGGGTGTTGGGTTGTTTGTTTGGTTCCTGTTTTGATGTGAAATTTGTCAGTTCAACCATTTTTTTTTTGGGGGGGGGGGGGTTTCTATAATATTAATTGGAGAGGAAACAAACCTCATTTTATAAATACAACACGGGATTAAAAATCTATGCATATAAATGTATACATTTGACAAGTAGGTGCAGTGTTTACATTTTGTTTCCGATGTGATAACTACTTTTTTTTCTTTCTTTTTAACATTCTTGGCAAGAGGGGTGCAACATTTTTTTTATTTTTTTTACATTCTTGGCAAAAGGGGTGCTACATTTATTATTTTTTTTTTTTGCATTCTTGGCAAAAGGGGTGCTACATTTTTTTTATTTATTTATTTTTTTTTTTTTACATTCTTGGCAAAGGGGTGCTACATTTTGTATTTCGCCCGTTACCCCAAATCTTGATCAAAACTCATGATTACAATGGGGGATAAAAATTATTTTCTCTTTGGACTGTCACTATTTTTTTGTTATAAGATAATGAATAGTGTTAATTTTTATTAGATATTGATACACGTGCCTTGCTTCTAAAATGCTCTGAATATTTTATTCACCAAAGCAAATTTCTTGCAAATGAACAAGATTTACTAAGAATTTGTCTGGCTAAGTAACATTAGTGTACAGGGTGAGTCAAAAAAAGCGAAAACCAAATGTCGGGACTATTGTTTTAGTGCAGTTCTGCATACAGCACTTTGAAAATCTAGGATATGGAAGCCCAATTCATAAGCTTTCTTTTAGTGCAAAAATCATTCAAATCACTCATGTACTTTTCAGGTTACGGAATTTTAAACACAACCACCGTTTTAAAGTTCTGTCCACGGATCACAAAAAAAGGTGTGCATTCTTTCAGAAAAATTAAAATGATTCACACACATCCCTACCAGGTATGTGATTTGTTTTCGTTTTGCTGAAAGAACACTTACATTCTTGTGATCCGTGGACTGAACTTTAAAACGGTGGTTGTGTTTCAAATTCCGTAACTTGAAAAGTACATGAGTGATTTGAATGATTCTTGTACTAAAAGAAAGCTTATGAATTGGGCTTTCATATCCTAGATTTTGAAAGGGCTACATGCAGAACCTTCACTAAAACAATGGTCCCGACATTTGGGTTTTCCTTTTTTTTTGACTCACCCTGTACGACTTTGGTTCAAAGGGACAACCTTTGAAAAGTTTGTGGAAATAATAAAACAGGCCTGTTATTGAGGTGCCAGACAATATTTAGGGACATGCTGAACAGCTCGCGTAACCTATCTGAACATTGAAGTCGCCCACTCCATGCCCCAAACGACGTCATTGATCAATAGCAAATCGTCCAAACGGCACGTCCAATCTACAAGGAGAAGAAACAGCCTCCTCCTCAGGACATATACATAAGCTGTGCAGCGCGGGGCGAAAGAGGCCAGCCGGTCGCTGTTTGTTGTGTTTGGGGATAGGTAAAAGCCGGGGCTTGTGTAATTATAGCACAGGGGAACGGGACGGTAGGATGGATCCTTCCAAGAAATGGCAATCGACTTGCGCGAGAGGGAAGGACGGATTTGGCCGGGTGGTTTGATGGAGATGATGACATAGGGGTGGCGGAGGGGGTGGGGGAGGGACAGTCAGGATATAGTGAGAATGGAATGTAGAGGGAAGCAAGATTGGTTTGGTACATTACATATTCCTGAACATGTCAATTTATAGGGGTCTAGCGGCAAATGCAATAACAGAATCGGCGATACTGAATCAGGAAACACAAGTTTCCATGCTTGGAAGAAAGATGTAACCTACTGTGGCAAAATGAGGAATGTCCCCCAAAACCACGTTTTTGAGTTATCAACGCCTGAAGTTGGATACACCAGAAAAATTTCAAAATCCATATTGGTTTTTTGTTATTTTTGAGTAGCCAAGGTTTCAAAGATTCACACTATACATTTCTGTTGAGAAAAAAATAAATGTATACACTCCCAAAAGTTGGACACCGAAACATTTTCCACTGCCATTGGCGCGCAGTGTGTTTCTTTTTTTAAAGCCGTTTTTCTTGGAATGAGGTCGGCGAAGTTCGGTTTGACACTGCTGACGCTCCTGTGGAATATCTTTGGAATAAATTGAGCTACATAAATTAATTTGGTATCATTGGAACGCCAATGATTTGCGCTTTAACATGATGTATGTAACTTATAAAGTCAAAGGTGGGGATCATTCCTCATTACGATATATCAGGACACAGACGTTTCTCCCCCCTTCCATGCCCATCCAAACTCCACCCCCCTTCAACTTTCAAGTCCTATACATGAGATGTTTACAGAAACGTGTAGGTAGCAAAACTTGTTGACAAGAGCTGACCGATATACATCAAAGTCTTGACAGAAATTTCTGAGTGCCGGGCAAACAAACGTTTTTCCCTTTCATTTTGTTCCAAAATAGGCTAATCACTCAGGCGTGGGAACGTAACGCGTGGTGCTGACACAGAGCCTTTTCTTAACTCAGACAGGACGGGATAATGAAATGGACTTTCGACTGCTGACAAGCTACTGCGGGGGTTTGGTGTTTTTGCTGGGTTGTTTGTTTGTTTGCTTTTTTTTCTGACCTGCAATGTAACCTGTAACAAGATGGCAAAAAATTCTTTTTGATTCTTCCATGCTTAACATTTCATTCACTATTCACGTACTTAGTAACATCCGCCCAGAGCACATGGCAAGCTAACAAAGTAGGAAATGTACAATGTACACACTTAACACACACAGAATTAATTAACCGTCTGGTATCTTTCATGTCTTTGCTAGAAATCTTCCTAAATCCTTCAAAATCCATTACTCTCTAGGAACCCAATGACACACTCTTTGTACCTACCAAGTTTCAAGGCGTATCAAGCCCCATGTAAAGTAATAGCTGGGCTCTACCTTCCTCAATCCTACAGAATCCTCCACTGTGCAGGAACCCAATGACACACTCTTTGTACGAGGTACCAAGTTTCAAGCGGTATCAAGCCCCATGTAATGTTATAGTGGCTGGGCTCTTCCTTCCTCAATCCTACAAAATCCATCACTCTTTAGGAACCCAATGGCACACTTTTTGTACCTACCAAGTTTCAAGGGGTATCAAGCCCAATGTGAAGTAATAGTGGCTGGGTTCTTCCTCAATCCTACAAAATCCATCACTCTATAGGAACCCAATGCCACACTCTTTGTACCTACCAAGTTTCGAGGTCCACCAAGCCCCATGTAAAGTAATCAGTGCTGGGCTCTTCCTTAATCCTACAAAATCCATCACTCTATAGGAACCCAATGGCACACTCTTTGGACCTACCAAGTTTCGAGGTCCATCAAGCCTCATGTAAAGTAACAGTGGGCAGGGCTCTACCTTCCTCAATCCTACAAAATCCTTCAAAATCTCAGAGTGGATTTTAAAAGATCTGGGAGGGTTTGGGCAAAGTGCTACAAGAAAAATATCCGCAACAAATAACTTTCTAAACGTTTTCTTCTAAACCATTTACCATATCTATCACGAACTTCAAAATACAAATTCACTTGCCAATTCAATAAGAATTTACTTATGTCATAATTAGTCTCTTTTCCTTTTTTTTTTTTTTTTGGAGAGGGTGGTTGTCGAAAGAATAATAACAGCTTGAAGGCATAGATATACTTCAACCACGGCAAGCAAGTACAGAGGTTTTCCTTTAACAGATTTCACGGCCCGGGGGTGCAATGGAAATTTTTTAATATCTTTCTTGAATTCATAGCCACGTTTGGTATATTCATACGCACACGTCTTAAAACCGGTCAAGAGCTTTTTCCGAGTGTGTTGTTTCGCCCCACAGCAGTTGCACAGACGTTTAATTTTACCAGTCCGTGTGTGTCTTTACCGTCTAGCATGGCTGTAAGCATGTTAGTGAATATTCCGCATGCCGAGGAAAAAAACTCCATTTTGACACGAACACAAATAAGTAAGTCTGTGGGTTTCCATGGACCAACTGATTTTTATTTTGACTGGTGTTGATTCTCTTTACTGAAACAAGGCGCAAAATATTTAGGCCATATGCTAGGGACCATGCCTGAATACTTCAAAATCCTCCAAAATGTTGCACATGTACCCACTGCCTCAATCCTACAAAAGCCTCCTCTTCTTCAAAAACCATTCAGCCTCAATCCTCCAAAATCAACCGATACTGAATGTCCATGTACCGTCAATCCTCCAGAATCCTCCCAAACTGTATGCTACATTCAGCCTCAATCCTCCAAAATCCTCCAAAATCCTCCTCTTCTTCAAAAACCATTCGGCATCGATCCTCCACAATCCTATAAAACTGTATGTTGCATTCAGCCTCATTCCTCCAAAATCCTCCAAAAACCATCCGGAGGACTTTGGAGGATTGAGGAAGGTTAATTATTAGGGGTTAAGAGGAAGAAGTTGGTTGTTGGTACTTACTCTATCTCGGAGAAGGCTCCTTCTGGGGCGTCCAGGGCAATGGCCAGCTCCTCGACAAGCATCTGAGCTTCTCGCAAACTGATCCTGTTCAGCGGACGACAAAAAATAACAATTCAAGTTGAGACGTGGACTGGAGCGGGGTTTGAAACCGCGACCTTCGGATTGCCGTTATGTCGCTCTACCGACTGATCTATCCAGCCCTATGTTGGCGGTTCCCCGTTCTGTCAGTGTCTATGTACGAGAGGTGTCAGTCAGAAGTCAAGAAGAAAAGTTGTGAACAGAGAGAATTGGAATCCATAACGGTTTGATTGGGTTTTTTTTTTAGTCATAGTGCAGGGGTTTGGCTTGGGGTTGGGTAGGGCTTACATGCTCTTACATATTGGCAAATGTGGAACCAAAGGGCAACAATATTTTCCCCTCTCTGGAAAACAGGCTAGAGGCATTTTGGGGTTTGAGGTTTATCTGTCCCAAAATGAAGTGGAACACGCAAGGAAATCATGATTAAAAAAAATGGGTTGAAAGAGTGTTCACAGTGCGAGTAAAACAGGTTTTTTTTCTCCGTGTTTTTCTTAACAACACGAATACAAAGGAGATGTCCACAGTCAAACAATAGGTACTGGTATAAGGCAATGTGTACAAGTGGGTAGGCATTACATTCACTGCGTGGACTTCCGAACAAAAGAGGTCCACATAAACCAGGTAGAGGCGACGTTGTGTGGACCTGGGCAAGTCCACACAGTGTTTCCCCATTTCTGGAAAACAGGTTTAGAGGCATTTTAGGGTTAGGTTTATCCATGGCAGAATGAAGAGAAACACTAAAGGGAATCATAGAAAGAAAAAAAATTGGGTTGAAAGTCCTGACCGTGGGAACATGGTGCTTGTGCTCTTGAGCAAGGCACTTTACCACTATTGCTTCGTCCTTCGGATGGGACGCAAAGCCGTAGGTCCCGTGTGTTGTGTAATGCATGTTAAAGAACCCAGTAACACTTGTCGCTAAGAGAAGGGGTTCGCCCCGGTGTCCTGGCAGTGGCCGCAGCACCTTGTAAACCCTGGTGCCACATAATGGGTCTCATATCTCTCATGTACTTCATTCATCTAACAATAGACATAACTCCCAGTGCCTTGAGTACCTCAGTACTCCGTTGCGATAATGCCTGAATAGGTTTCTGCAACGTAGCCATACAGATACAGACAGATACAGAAAGAGTTTTCACAGTTTGAGAAAAATGAGTTTTTTCACTGGTTTTTCTTAACTACACGAAAGCAATGGAATGTCCACACTTGGTATGTAACGTAAACAAGTATGGGCGTACCATATGTCCTCGCTTTTTAATAGTCAACTTTTACATCAAACGTGGACTTACCAAAACAAGTGCTACATGAACATGTCCATAGTCTCTGCGCAACCAAATATACGTACTTCAGAGAACCCCGGTCTGGTAAAAATGTCTGATATGCAACGTGTACACCGCACAACGTTTAGACATGAATATTTCTGGACCTCACAGTACAGTTATAAAAATATGGAAACGGAAATAACTTAGCATACGCCGACCAAATAAATTATGCACAACTTGTGCGCCACTTCTATGCCCACTGCATATCTCTACCATACGGGGCAATGAACCGTACATATTTTTAGTCATGTTGATTTATATATGCTGTAAATATATTGTAATTTGAAATACAAATTTGATATTTATAAGCAGAATACATTAGCTTTATATTCAATACTTTGGTATGTCTATATGTGGATATATCTGCATATGATCCGTGGGGGGGGGGGGGTAGTAAACATTGATAAAACCATATGTTCCAAAACTGTTGGTTTTTTTGTATTACTGTAAATGTACTTTCTGCAATCTTACAGAGAAAAAAGGGTTGTAAATTTACTTTCCAAATTAACCCTCCTGCCGTACAAACAGCTGAGTCACAGACAGTAAAAAAAAATCAATCCTCTTCCCTGCCATGCCTTTTACACAGGCTGGTCACCAACAGTCTTCAAGCAAGCACTGTGACTAGTCAAATTCAGTCAACAGACAAACGCAGGCAAGTGGTAGGCACAGCTGGCTTAATCACCTACAGTCAAAGCACAGCTGTATCAAGTTACATAAACAGTCACAGCCAGTCAATCCTGCTTTATGTATGGGAGCTCTTAACTGTTGAAAACTGTCACTTGACTGATTTTGACTGAAAGGATTACTTGGCACTGAATGTATGTTTGCATACAAGGATTGAAGAGAGAAATGTACGTGTGTAAAAAAATGTACGTTAAGTGTATATATCCTGTTTTGAGCTTTGTTGACATTCATTCAAAGGTGAACAGATGGACACCACTTTTTTTTTTAAATTTACAGCAAATTACACACCCCAGAGCTGGCTAAATCCGTACTTTAAAAAAAAATTCCCAAATTTCAATTTATGCGCATACACAATTTCAGATGCAACACATGCAAATATCCATAACACATGGCCGATCGAGTTGAACAAACACACACTGGCATTTCACAAATTGGTCACAAGAGGGCCTCCTACGCTCTCCATACAAACTAGAGACAGAGCCAGAGTTGCTACTGATCATGTGACTGATCACGTGACCTCTGGAGCCTCTCGTATCGATTTGTCATCTGCCATCACGTAGTGCACTCAAGACTGGAAAGGCCACTCGCATATAATTAGGCAGTGGTAAGCGAATGCTTCTCCTCTGTCAAAATGTCAATAATGCACTTTTGATGTATCGTACGGGTAAAAAAAAAGTCGTAAATTTATCAAAGGGGTGTGTCGACTATTTTAAAATGAGCAGTACACAGCCAGTTCAGTAAGAAGTTCCCACCCATTAAAAAAACAAAATCAAAAAGGGAATTTGAAGAAACAAACCCTCCCTTTATTCTAACTCCCTAGGCATTTTGGCTGGGATATGCATCCTCAAAATCCTCCAACTGCCTCCATGTAAAAATTGCATACAGCCTCAATCCTGCAAAATCCTCCGTTATTTCTTGAATGTGGTTCTTGGAGGGGTGACCACTGCCTCAATCCTGCAAAATCCTCCGGCAACCACTGTCAATATGTTGAGGCAGAGCCAGTGACATCCTGGAGCAGTGCGGAGGATTTCAAGTATAATATAGGCCTAAATTTATGCACGGCTGAGCATAAACAACACAAGGTCCGGCCTAAGACCTTGACACAGTGCATCCTCCAAAATCAGCCGCACGTGTTTGTCATACAACCTCAATCCTGTAAAATCCTCCATTTTGCAAAGAGGATTTTGGAGGATTTGGGAAGGTCAGGGTTACAATTTCAGTTTATCACTGAGAATTCTCCAAAATAAACAACATTTACCCTCAAATAAGCTGGAAAATAAAACATCAGATATAAAATCTCAAATTAAAAAAACAAATCATATTCTCAAAGAATTCTCAGCCCTTTCTCACAAAAGATACTGCTTTGGGACCATGCTCTAAGGCAAATGGGAAATCTAAAAGAAACAACGTCATGACGTCACGCTTTGGTCGGACATGCATTTTCTTATGGGAGCCAGGTGGGAACGAAAACAATCAAGCTACTGTAAGAAAGTGCACATGAAGCACACGGCAAACAAAGTGTGACATTGTTATGTCTCATGTCTATTCCTGTCTTCTGAAGACGTACTGTTGAAAAGTTGCATTAGAAATAAAAACATCAACTAATCCACTAGTAAAATGGACCACATGTGACACTAAAATAGTCCCCGTCAACACATTTTCAAAGTGCCGGAGTCTAAGGCCATTAAAGGGACACTAGGTCCTGGAACAGCCCAATTGGGCTACGAAACGCGCCTTGAACGAGATGATGTTAATCGGAAATAACATTTAAAAGTAGGATATACAACATCCACACAACTATCCTTTCAAAACTGGGCGTTTTTGTGTTATTCCTGTATTATGCATGCAAGAACGAATTTTGGGGTTTCCACCTTTGCGACCCCATAAATTCGAGCTATTTGGATGCTACATGTAGTTGTGATTTCATTCGTTGAGTGTTCGCCTTTTGCGGTCATTGAAGAAACCCCTTTTTTTGCATTGGAGATTGGTCACCGCTGTTCCCGAGACACACAACGTGTATATTGTACACTGAGAACGACACGAAAAACGTATTTCTGCTCCATCATGTCCGATGTAAACGAGCGGTTTTTTTTGTTTGTCTTTTCTCGGGAACGGTAAGACAATTAGGTTGGTTTTCTTTCAACCAGATGCTTGAAATAGGCTATTAAAGTAAACAATCCAAAACATAAAATTTTAGGGGATTTCAGGACCTAGTGCCCCTTTAACATCAATGGGCTTTCATTTGTCTGACATGACATCTACTACATAAATTCTCATCACGGTTGACTGACGTAAGATTACACAAGTACACCTCACGCGACGTGCGTGTACATCATTTGCCGACGTGCATCGTTTGTCAGTGTCAGAATCCCTCGTAGGAATTGGGACCGAGAAAAATAAAAATTTGTGGCCCCTTGTGGCCGTTTTTTTTTTGCCAGACTGTCACAGTTCACGATCCTGTTATTTTTTCTTCTCAAGGTCTTGAATGATTAATGCTTCAATAATCTCCGGGCAGTGTTGTGGTTTTGAGCCAGCCCCCCCCCCCCCCCCCAGTCTGACAAATGTAGGGAATGTCACCAGGTATTGTAGGAATTGACTCAGTAGAAACTAGACAGAGTGGTCCGTTAAAGATATAGTCCATCATTTGTAATTTGTGCATTTTGTTTGTTTGAAGCAACAAAAGTGTTCAACATCTAATGAAGGATACTGAACAACTAACCTGATGAAGTTTCAGCTCAGCTTCAGCTGTTTCTTCCGAGAAAAACAGCATTCTAAGATCTCAATTTCAAATCAAAAGTCGCTGAATCATGTTTTGAATTTGGCCTGAATTCAGCGTCTGAGACACGTTCTCACTGAGCCGATTGCAGCTATACGGTGCGTCTTTAAGACGCACCGTTGGAAAGGCCTTCTTTCGTTGACTTCAAAATGACAGCTTGCCAGTAAAAATAATTTCACAGGGAGTTTAGGCCACTTACTATCTTTCAACCAAGTATGTTTTTCAACAATAATTATGCCAGTTACTTTTCGGATGGCTGCAAATGATGGATTATAGCTTTAAAATACAATGGATTCTGATTATGGACAAAAACTGCTGCTGAAAACAGATGTGGTTATCACTGTTTCAAAACAAAGTGTTTAGCGAATTCTCAGAAATAAAAGTTTGGTTTAAAAACATGTCCATGTATATCAAAACAACAGCAATGATTTTGTATAAAATTGATTCAATGCCGGAAACAAATTAGCAAGTTTGTGATCAAAAAAAGAAAGGAATTATACAATTTAGATCAACTAATAAAAAAAAGCTACAAAATGGCGTTCAGTGGGACTTAGTAAGAGGAATTCTTGAACATTTTGAGGATTTCAGGGTTTTTTTACAATAATAAAACATCTGAATTTCTCAGAAATTGTAAACACTTTTGACCCGATTGAGGTCAAACCGCATGTATTTTTGTCCATCGTTACTAGAACACTGTGCCAGCTTGAATTGTCCTGCTCAATTTTGGCATTGGATACTTTCAACTGATCTGTCTTGATCGCATTGTTTCACACATTGCGCCAGGGTCAGGGGATTTAGGACATTTGGGAATAAAGGACAGCCCCGATTTGAGATTGACAGATACCAAAAACAAACGAATATTAAAAAAAGGCATCAGTTCAGAGATTCTAATCTCCGATTCAACTACAAATTAATTCTTACAAATGTGATTCACCATGCTGAATTAAGATTCCCATTAGCTTTTGTTTTGGTTGTTTTTTACGCATAGCTAATTACACTGATGACGTCAAACAGTTGCAGACAGCCGGATATTGCTATCGGAGGAAATCACGCCGTCTGTCGACGACATGTCACGATTTCGCATTCCCTTTCTGAAAAAGATTCAGTCTCTGTGGGGACAGGTGTCCGCGGGAAAAAAAATCAGCATTTGCATGAATAATAATGCTGAAAGTTCAGATCTGATATTTTGTCAAAACAGCCATTCCCAGCGTACTATCTTGTTGGCTAGAGCACGAAAGCTCTCAAAAATATATTACAAGTGGCTAGATTTATAAAAAATGTTAATACTGGGTTTAGCCCAATGTTTAAAATATGTATTTAAAGTTTTGTTAATAGCACATGTTGAAATGTCGCACTTAAAGCTATAGTCCATCATTTGCAGCCATCCGAAAAGTAACTGGCGTAATTATTGTTGAAAAACAAACTTGGTTGAAAGATAGTAAGGGGACTAAACTCCCTGTGAAATTATTCTTTCTGGGAAACTGTCATTTTGAAGTAATCAACGAAAGAAGGCCTTTCCAACGGTGCGTCTTAAGACGCACCGTAGGAAAATTTAAATTAGTAGTTCGTTTTGTTATTCGGCGCAGCGCGCGCAAGCATTGGCACGACGCACAGGCGCGCGTGGTTGCTATAATTCGTCGGATCAGTGCGCGACGTTGCGTATAGCTGCAATTCAAAACAATTCAAAACATGATTCAGTAACTTTTGATTTGAAATTGAGATCCTAGAATGCTGTTTTTCTCGGAATACACAGCTGAAGCTTAGCTGAAACTTCATCAGGTTAGTTGTTCAGTATCCTTCATTAGATTTTGAACACTTTTGTTGCTTCAAACGAACAAAATGCACAAATCACAAATGATGGACTATATCTTTAACACACACATCCAGTGCAATGTGTTCTCAGTGAAACTCATTGTTATGAAGTCGTTCGTAAATATTTTAAAAAATTTTTCTTTAATTGTTCAACCCAAAAATTACAACCCAACTTATTTCTGTATTCAATGGAACTTCTTTCTTGCTAGACGTTAGAAAATTCAATACTACTTTTTGATGTAGATTATTACTGTAACTGTTTTTTAATTATTAAAAGGTTTAAATTATTGGTTTTGATATTTTGCTAGGCATTTTGTTGAGATTTTTATTTAAAAATGCTGTATTAAGAATAAATTATTATCATTAATATTACTACCACATTGCGTATCATTTAAAAGAGTGTACATGTCAATGATCATTATCACTACAATTTTGTGTAAAATATGGCAATAACTTTGTCAAAAGGTTTAAGTTTCTATTTTACTAAACAGGCAAATTCGACTCTCAACGAAAGGCTTTAGAATCTACTAAAAATCTAAGAGTACCTTCTTAAAAAAAAAAGGTCAAACAGCGAGCAAGGCAAAAACGCAGACAAGAAACATCAGTAACACCCTCAAGTTGTTTTTCTTCAAAAACAACTCGGCAGATACTCAGAAAAAAGTCTTACGGGATTAAGTGCCCGTCCTTCTCCTTTTTAAACCTTTTTGCCCTTAAAAATGGACGACGGGGAAAGGGTCAAAAGCTCTCAGCCAGTGCTGGGTGATTTACAAAACGATCACTTATCGATTAATCCTATGACAAATAATATCGATTGCTGGTTATAACGCAGATGTTGGTTTTGCGTAGTGAGGGTTTTTGGAGAGTTCAGGTGCAAAAATGCACAATTTCGGATTAACCATTAATTGTGGTTATGACAACAAACTGGAAAATATAATTGGTATTAGCACCAAAGGCCATGATCGCTAATCACGATTAATCGATATATATCGCACTATCGCCCAGCATTTACCCATGACGCCACTCAGCCGTGTCAGCTGCCACACAGCCGGCCAGGCCACTCTATATGAACGCCATGCGAATACCAAAACAGCATGATGGAACACCGACCCTGCTAGTCTGTTTTCCAGTCCATTTTACACACTCGCGGCGATCGCGCTGCCTCAGATGGCAAATCTTATTTCACGGTCGGCGACCCACACCAATAATCATCTCAGAATTTTTGAACTCTAAAGGGGGAGGGGGGGGGGACACCGTCCTGGTGGACAGTTCGAGTTCCGATATCACTCAGGCATGCAACTGGAAATTTACCAAAAAAAAGAGGAAATTCCAACACACCCAAGACTCTGTACAGTGTTTTTTAATTTGTGTGGTATTTACGAGAAGTTAAAAACAAGGAAATCCGCCGATCAGAGGAAAAGATGCATGCCTGTTCATCTCTAACAACCAAAACGGTCTTCTCCAAAAGCCTGCAAAATGCTTGTCGGCCACTCAAAATTTAAGATAATCGCTGTGTTTTACAAAATACAAACTCCTAAAAGCTGCAATTTTCCCTTCTTGACCTGCAGGCAGATAATGGACGATAGCTGTACTCTGATTCTATCAGAGAGAAAACATGGTTTACCCGAGAAATGCTTCTCTTTTGGATGTCTTCTTTGGAGGTGGAAAGGACAATATATTCAACCTTTCTCTAACATTGATTTTTTTTTTTGGGGGGGGGGGGACTTTTGTCATCGGTTGAGCATTGGTGAATAAACTCTTCCGTTTACATTGTCAATGGAAGGCTACATTTTTGACGGATGATTGGTGGATATTTCTTAGAGAATTTCAAAAAAAATGGGGGGGGGATGTGTGTATATTGCACCTGTGCAATATCTGCCCTTAGAGGGCAGTATGCATTGCTTGCAGAGCTAATGGGGCATTTTTGAAACTTTGGCTATTTCTCCAGCGTCATATTCAAAAGACTTTAGGCCATGATTGACTTTGGGCTTAGGCTCACATGTATGTATATCAGTTCCATGTTCTGCTTCCGTGGTTCTCATCTACACTCCAGGGTGGAACGAGGCAAGTTGTAATAAAGTGGCTTGCTCAAGGACACAAAACAGGGCCTGAAGTTGGATTCAAACCCCTGACCCTCTGATCACAAGTCAAACAAGACCCTCACAACTAGGAAACAAGCCTCCCCAAAAAAAAATGGAAAAAAAAAAAAAAAATGAAAAAGAAGAAATTACGAGTATTTACCCCGACGTTAGGGCTATGAAGACGTAGCCAGAAGGAGCAAATGTCGTCCTCTTGGCGGTGGTCGGCTCGGGCGCGGGTGTGGTAGGCTCCTTCCTGGCAGGCTCTGGCGTTGCCACGGCAACAGCATCTTCAAGAACAGAAACAGAAAAGAAATCTGTAACTGGTCATGCTACACTCTGCGTTGTGTTCCCGTGCTGAAGACGTGTTAGTTCATGCAATGGATTGTGTGCGTGATCAAAGAGGGCGCCCTTTACCTACCTTTTGTAACATGAACAGAAACAAATGTACAAATAATGTCATCCATATCTGATTATCTAAGAATACTGTTTCATATTGCAAAAGCTGCGAAGTCAGTATATGAGCAATTCCAGTGTGGTGTTTATGATGTCATCATCCACTTTTTCAGAAGAAATGAAACTTCTTGTGTCAATCAGTTTCATCGCAGTAAATACTTTTGGTGCTCGATAAATTCCTGTGCTACACAGCTCACTATAAAATGTGCTCAGACACCACATTAATGTTAATGAAATTTACATTGTCTAAGTAGCACATCCTGGTATTTCCCTGCGGGTTGAGGGGGGGGGGCATTTTTACGTCTGGCAAATATATACCTCTTTCTGCATTACATTTTGAAAAATGAAAACAAATCAAAAAAAACGTTGCCAACAATTGAGGTAGAAAATTCACCGTGCTTCTCCATGTACATAATGATGAAGTGTGCAAATTGATAAAAACCATACAGTTCATGATAAGACTCAAGTCATGAATACGAAATGTGAATCAACCCAAATGAAAAAAAAAAGTTATTTCTTCCCAACTACCTGTTTGTAAAAAAAAAAAAAAAAAGGGGGAATTTTTATCATGCAGTTTATTCCATGCATTCCTCCACCAACTTTTTACCAAGTATTTTTTGAATTTTTTTTTCTTGTGTCGACAATTATCTGATTCACTTACATCTTCATGCACAAATTTGCCTTGAGGGGAAAAAGAGTTAGTGGATGAAAAAAGAATGAATATGTTAATAATGTCAAAACCATTCAAAACTAAAACGACTCTTTTTTTGTGGACAAGCATGGCATACACCTCTGAAAAATTCCAACACTTGATTATTCAATTTAAAAGGTCACCTTGTAATAACTTGTATCAATCAAAATCGTACGTTACAAATACCGATTATGAAGTCAAAATTTAAATCAAAATTGAAGGTAATATGAAGAACCAACTTTCTGGGTGTAATTTTATCAGGAGTGTCCCCTTCTCGAAGTATTTATTTCCTACTGGCATAACAACGTCAAATGTTGCCAGGGCATGCAACGTTTTTAAGTCGAGTTAAATCAACTTAAGATATCCCGTTTCGATTCCGTTTTCATTCCCAGCCCGAGTCTTTGAATACTGAGAGTGTTTCTACAGCGGGAAGCATTCTTTCCCTCCTTTGTCTGGATGGGTCCTCGTACCGCATACAAGTCAAGACGTTAATTTGATTTTGGCAGCCGCCCGTGCAAATATCTTAAACTCCTGCGGCCGGTAACACGTTGAACTCACAAACAAACAAAATTAGCGATGCCCATACTGGAGCACGCGTCGACTACGTACAGGCATAGAAGAGCTACCGTCCAAACGAAGTAAAAAAAGAGAAAGAAAAAAAGAGAGGTCGTTCCGATGGAATTTCAGTACTGAGAAATCAGAGACGAAACCGATTCGGATAGGAGACAGAAAATCAAGATCTGTTCTGCCGTCGGGAATACTAATCATCGATTCATCATGGTGATCCATCTTTGCTTGAATTTTTGGCTCTAGGCCAAAACAAAATTGAGCGTTTTCCTTTGACAGTCTCTTTAATGACATAAATCAAATGTCTACAGACATGAGTGCCTGAGGTGAGCTATTCAGTTAAATAGATTTCCCATTGCAACAAAAACGGCCAAATTCTACAAGAGGCCCTTTTTTTTCTACATGGCGTGGGTTTTATTTAATTAATCTTTTTTTATACAAGGAATTTTTATAAATTTCTCAAGATGCAACGAATTCGGAAAATCTACCAACACCTTGAAGTTTGTCTTTCAAAACAATTTTAAAACTAACTTCCCCCAAGGCTTTGATTCAAAACTGCAATAAATTTCAAATTTTTCACAACATGACGGTAAGAAATTTGTTCTTGTTTAAACATCTTACTGTACATAGATCCCTAATTAGCTCTCTTTATACTTGTACGTAAGCCATTCCGACAAACAAAAGACAAATTTTTCAACTACTTTTTTAATGTATTTGTAAGGGGTGTGAGCGACCACTGATAAAAATAGCTGAAAACAGCTGAAAAAGGTGTAAAAAAGCTGAACTTTGGAAATCTCCTATACTTTTGTACACAGCAAGTGAGGGAAAACAGTTGAAATCCAAATCAAAAAAAGCTGAAATCAGCTTTAAAGCTGAGATTTCACACCCCTGGACTAATGGAGTGAACTCTCTTTTGGAACACGCATTTTCAGATTTTGGATGTCCCAAAATCTGAAGGATACAAACTTACACAGATGTGCTGGCACAGCCTGCAAATAAAGCCGACGTCTTGGTCTATACAGGTCTAAAAATAACGTTGCAGTTCTCCGGGAAAGTACATGTGCAAAATGTCCACGAATGCCGATCAGCCACTTCAGACAAACTGGCTACAAGCTCTAATAAGGGGACACTGATACGAGTACCGAGCAGATCTGTACAGAATGAATGGCGCAGTTGCTAAGTCGGGAACCAGTGACATGGGCACCGATGAGGATTTCTAGGCTTATAAATAGTCCCCGTTGGACATGTGTGAAGAATATCATGCAGCCAAGCTGCGGAACGTGCAGCGAGGACGCCACTTAAAGTCGAGATGATCTACAGTACAATCAACGTATCGTCTGTCACTCGCTGAACAGGATGAAGGTGCATCTGAACTGTGGGAACCAGCAACACAGGTACCAACTCAAGACAGGGCGTGCTCCTGGCCGTCGTCCATATGTGAATCGCATCACCCAGAGGACAAACAGGAACCAGTGACACGGGTACCAGTGGATTCCGTGCCACTTCACGGGGACAAACTGAACCACACCCAGTCCGACCATGGAAACGTATCGAGGATCAATTCACTGGACCCGGTGGCACAAGTACCAATGAAGTTTGCTACGGCAACGGAGCTGTTTGCTCCTCTTTAAAGTAGGACGGCCGCAGATCGCTTAAAGGTCAATCACTCATATCGTCGATTGATCCTGGAAACGCGAGGACTTACTGAATGATAAGATCGTAGACGAGAGATCGAGAATCCATTAGGCCATCGACAGCAGCAAACTCTGACTGAGAACGCGATACTCAGTCTTCGCTTTGGACTATTATGCCAGGCATGTAGTCGACCTATCCATGTGTGAAGGCTTGCATACATTATAGGGCCACGGAGGGATCTCCTTCTGGCAACCACGGCAAGAAGCCGTCATCGGTAAAAGTTATGAGGGACGGCGTTGACACCATCAATAGTTCATGATGACTGACAGAGGAGATGGAAGTTGCAGGTGCTGAGGGGTGCGTGACCTGCCGAAGGTCCCGGCTTGTACGCACTCCCACACAGTGAAATGCCACTTGTTAAGTACAGGGAAATTATTGACCCCTTAACTCCCTAGGCATTTTTGTGTCGGGGAAAATTGCTTGAATATAACAGAAAATCTGAGAAAATTAATAAATGACTCACTCCTAAATACGTATCGGGACAGCAACGTCACTTCAAAATACTTAGAAGAATCATTTTTGATTAAAAACCTTATCATGTGGCAATCTAAAAAGCAACCCAGAATTTTATTTTTCAGAAATCATCCAATTTTTTTGGTAAAGTGTTACAAATTTATTGGCAATGGGGTTTGGGTGGGGTTTGGGTGGGGTTTGGGTAGGGTTTGTTGGGGTAGGGGTGTGGTAGGAGTGGGATAGGGATGGGGGTGGGGTGGAGTAGGGATGGGGGTGGGGTGGGGTGTTGTAGGGGTGGGGTGGGGTGTTGTAGGGGTGGGGTGAGAGTGGGAGTGGGAGAAGGGGGGTGTGGGGTTGGGGATGGGGGTGGGGGAAGGGAAAGGGGAAGGGAAAGGAGAAGGGGTGGGGGAAGGGAAGGGGGAAGGGAAAGGAGAAGGGGTGGGGGTGGTGGGGATGGGGCAGGGGTTTCTCAAAGAACTCTCCAAACACCCAACTCCCCCCCCCAAAAGGGATTTATTTAACGTACATTCAGCGTTAAATGTGCACTCCTCATGATCCACTTGTCACAGTAACATTCATTCATGCGTGAACACATCAAATGGAAGCGTTCACTCAAACCACTCTAATGTTTGCCCACACACCTCACAACATCTATAATTCAACGTGTAGTCACAACTCATGTTTCAGACATGAATGTCGTCTGCTTCCCCCCCCCCCTCCCCCTCCGGCAAATTCCTATCCAGTAATTATCTCTCTCTCTCTCTCTGCGTGCTGGCCAAACAGTCCCAAAAGGGTGATTTATTTGTGGTTATTACCCCCCAGGAGAACACGCGAGACAAGATGGAATGCACGATAGTGACAAAAATAGCAGCTACGGATGAAAAAAAAAAACAGAAAAATACCTTAAAGCAGTGAGTGGCACTTCTACTCGGATCTATTTTGGTTTCTTTTCAAGTCTACACTGGTACAGATGACAAAATTGAGGACCCACTGGCATGAGAAGAGCAGACACAAACGGAACCAATGTGATTGGTTGTGCGTGCTTGTGAGTCTCACTCTGATTGGCCAAACTGATGATAGCAATGCTCTTCCAATTTCAGGGGGACAGTTGACTAAGTACTCTAAAACAAGATTTCCTTGTTGAGTTTGCACATTATTAGGCATGTTAGGTGTGAAATGTTCACTATTATTATCATTATTATTATTACATTCTATTTAAAGGATAGATTGTGCAGCAAAATGTGAGAATATCACACAAGCAATGCAATCAAAGAATCACGTACTGTGACAGATTAACCCTAACTCCCTAGGCATTTTTGCTAGGATGTAACCTCAATCCTGCAAAATCTTCCAACTGCCTCCATGTAAAAACTGTTTGTAAAACAGCCTCAATCCTGCAATTCCTCCGTCATTTCTTGGAGGGGTGACCACTGCCTCAATCCTGCAAAATCCTCCAGCAATCACTGTCAGTATGTTGAGGTAGAGCCAGTGGCATCCTGGAGCAGTGCGGAGGATTCCAAGTATAATCTAGGCCTCAAGTTAGGCACGGCTGAGCATAAGCAACACAAGGTCTGGCCAAGGACCTTGACACAGTGCATCCTCCAAAATCAGCCACACATGTTTGCCATATAGCCTCAATCCTGCAAAATGCTCCATTTTTGCAAAAAGGACTTTGGAGGATGCGGGACAGTTAGAGTTAAGGCCAAAAAAAAAAGTCTCCGGTTTCTGGTATGGAGCTGCCCAAAAAGTTGCGCAGCGACGCGGCTTTTTTTTTTTTTTACCTGATTTTTTTTCTTCAAATGTCGGCTGATGACTGCAAATGGTGCCCGACTAAACTTAGTGCAAATTATATGGGAGTCCAGAGAGGCCACATAAAGCTTATTCTCGACCATAACCCAATCTAAAAACACATTAAAATTGTGCAGCAGCAGGATTCCAGTCAGACCAGTGAGTTTGGCGGTTTTCAGACATCATCTTTCATTGAAAAAAAAACTTTTTCATTTTGCCGACGCGCATGACTACGGTGACGCGCGCGCATACCAGAAACCGGAGACTTTTTTTTTTTGGCCTAAGAAAATTTTTTTTCTCTTTATTTTGAAGAAGATCCCTACCTTCGTCCTTCTTGGCCAGGTCAACATTCATGCTAATCCCCGACTCCTTAGGCTGCTGCAAGGGTTCAACGAACTCCTTGCCAGGCTGGCCGACCCCTTGACCTAAAGGAGAAAGAAAGACAAAAAAGACCTCTTAATTAGTGGAATGAACTTTCGCTTACACTCCAAGAAGAAAAAAATGCCCCAAGGGATGATGGGATATATTACCGCTCCGAGGGACAGGTGTGAGTAACAGACAATGCCTGGCAGGTGTATGTAATTTAGAGGATAGTCGTTAGAACCTGTCAGTTTGAGCCACTACATTGATCTCAGACAGATTGGAAAAAAGTTGGGGGAAAAAAGTTTTTGAAGTAATATACAACATTTGCTTCTGCAGTAATTTTCAGAAATGGATGGATTTGGGGTGAGATATTTAATAGCACATATTGTTACATTCGTACACTGACCTGAAATTTTGTGTTCAAAGATGCGGGAAAAACCAAGAAAGAAAATGCTGTTCATTGTAGTCTGGTTCTCAGACTACAAGAGCACGAGCTGGGAACCAGACTAGCTGGCTTGCACCCGTTCACAGATGTGTAACTGATTGCAAACCAAATGTGGACTAAATAATTTGGTAAATTGGGGGCAGTATTTGAAAAAAAGTCATTTTTGTTCCAATGTTGGTCGGCCGACAATCGTTGGAAATTGATACAAAAATTCCACTTTGCTTGAAAATGACAGCACACCAGGTGCCATGATTTCACAGGATGCTTGAGACTATTATTCACTTACAGTCAAGTAAGGTATTTCATGATAACTTGGCAGTTTTGGTTTTTGATGATGTTGATATCATTTTGATGATTTTGATATCATTCTCAATTGTCACTGAAAGTCCAAACTGTACTTGTGTCTGCCCCCCCCCCCCCCCCGACACAGCTTGAGTAAGATGCTGGTGCCAAGTTGAGTACACACAGATTTCTTTTTCACATCTTGAAAATTACGAGCTTGTTACATAATTTATATCTTTGCTCTTTGCTCACGACAACTCGCGCCAAGGCTTGTTAAAAAATTTACGCAAGTTTCAAGTACACACAGATTTCTTCTTTCACATCTTGAAAATTACAATCTTGTTACATAATTAATATCTTCGCTCTTTGTTCACGACAACTCGCGCCAAGGTTTGTTAAAAAATTTACTGAGTTCACAACTGCAGAACGAGATTGTCCGTCGGTGACCACTGAGGCGACGGGCACCGGCGTGAAATTTGACCCCGGACGATATTACTGCTAAACGTGAACGACATAACAATGGTGCTCTTAGAAAATTTGTTTTAAGAAAGACAATGAATTTTTAAAATGCTCCATGCAAGAACATGCCTTAGAGCGCCAGTTTGGAATAACTAAGTCATAAACCTCGGCCACTTGGAGACTCGTTTTTTGGCATTCTCGGGGGTATGTAGGAATTGGTCATGCATTGAAAAACTTGCTATCAACTTAAAATTCACAGCCAGATTTGTTCCCTCAATTATTTAAAAGCCTCTTAACACAAACCTTGTATGGCACCATCATGATATATTTTTTTTTTAGAAGGGCATTAAGTATTCTATGGAATATCCCTAGGGTCTATGATATGTGAGCAGATTCGGCGATTAATTATGCAAAACAAGACTGTGTTTTGACCTCGAGATTCTGACCATTCAGCGGGCGCCTTCTATCGGGTCTTCGGTAACCCGTTGTTGTATTACAAAAACATGGCAGCCAAATCGACCAATCAACAACTTAGTCCACATTTCTGATCAAAATGACATCACGCTTCTAAAGTCGACTCCGATTGGCTGGCGCCCACGGTCGCCATATAACTTGCATGTTAGGGTTTATCAGACGTTCGACCGTGACTGCTGCACATGTGAATGGTTGATCCTCTGACTAGGCTTTAAGAAGCTGCGAAGTGGAATATTACGCTGGTAATAAATGCATGCGCTAAGCAATGTGAGCCGTGAAGCCGCCGTGCACCAGTCGCAAACTTCATATGTTACACTACATCTTGGCTGGTAACCCATTTGCGCTAAGCACATATTTTCTGTGCTGAGCAAAATCCGGTAACCAACCAAAAAGCCATGTAATGTACACTACCCATGACTGGTTCCCAGCAGAGAGAAACTTTTGACACGGCCAATCTCACCTTTGCTAGAGGGAGCCTTTTTCTCATCCGCCCCCTTTTCCTCGCCAGACTCCGCCCCTTGCTCCTCCTTTCCTCCACCTTCCTCCTCCGCGTCTCCCGTCTCCGTGGCAACGCCCGCATCTTCGGCCTCTAGCTGCAAGATCTCGTCGATGAGATCGTTCTTCTCCTCGTCGGTCAGGGCGTTCCAGTACTGCCCGTCCAAATCGCCGAAGATCGTATCATACACGGTCCCTTCAAGAAGAAAACATACAAAAAAGCGTTGAATACTTCCATTAAGATTCCTCTGTGCTGGTAACTATAACCTGTTGCTTCATGAGCTAGAATTAGTTGCTGGGGCAAGTAACTTTGATTAACTCTTTCGCTATGGCGAGCCGCTGACAGCGGCACAAAAAAAAATGGCGGGCGGATCTGATTCAACAACTGCTTCGCGAACATCGCAAATGCTATCATTACCCTCGTCCAAGATGTTTAGATTATTTAACCCTCCTATGGAAACATGTATTGTCAGCCTGGTAATTACTTGGGTCAATATTGGTCAAGACCCCCATTGGTTGTACACAGTATGCCAGGAGGTGAGGAAGAAAATTTTGACCATTGGTGACCTCTTAAGCAAGAAGAGGGTTAAAACGTTGCGCAGCTACGTCAAGTTTCGTGAAATCGATTGTTAGTTTATTGCGTAACTGCGAAATCAATTTGGTGCGCAATTCCTACACATGACGTAAGATACGCAGTGCTTTGTAAATTAGGCTGCTGGGACTAATTTGCAATGAGCTGCTCAGCACACAAATTTTGTAAGTACAGAAATCTGCTAAGCAATATTTCCTTGCTAAGCCAAAATTTGAAATGAGCTGCTCAGCACACAAAGTTTCTAAATACAGAAATTTGCTAAGCAGTATTTCCTTGCTAAGCCAAAATTTGCAATGAGCTGCTTAGCACACAAATTTCTAAGCAGTATTTCCTTGCTAAGCCAAAATCAGTCTCTAAGACTTGGCGATACCTTCTCCCTGCTTGTTCTGATCTTGAGGCTCGGCCGCCTCCGTCTCCACGGCAACCTCATCATTGCCGACGGGCAGCTCGTTGCCGAAATCTCCGTTCCACTCCTCCATGAAGGATTCCAAGGAGTAAGACGAGCCCTCGGAAGAGGTGTCGGATTCTGAGGCCGATTCTTCCGAGGACGTCACCCAGCGATCCCGATTCTCATTGTAGAGGAGCTGGAAGATAAGAAGACGTAAGCAGTAATACGAGAGTATGGACAATGGGACAGCAGTACTACTTAGCTGGAAAATCTTTGAAACGCACACTGGCATTATAGTAGGAGTGCTGTGGCCTCGTGGTTAAGGGCACTGGATTCGTGGTCTGCGGGTAAAGCTGCAGGTTGTGGGTTGGAGTCCAGCCGGGGTCATGGTGCGTGTGCCCTTGAGCAAGGCACTTTGTCACTCATTGCTTCTCTCCACCCAGGAGTAAATGGGTACCTGTGAGGGCAGAGATGGTTATTGTGATTGAATAAGCTTGCTTGCGCTTAACAGGCTGCATCGAGCTGTATACTCCCCAGGGAGCTGAGATGGTGTTTGGAATGTTTTATTGGCCCAATGATATGGGGTAATAATAATACTGTAAGCGCTGTGCTTTAGTTTACTAGTAAGAGCATTCTCAAATGCTGATTATTATTATAGTAGCTTGCAGGGCTAGGGAGTATTTTCAAAATAGCCGACAGATTAACCCTAACCACCCCAACCCTTCAAAATCCAACGGCATGTTTTGTTGGAATCTGTTGGAATGAGTACTGCACGAGTAAACTGCTTAATATGGGGTCAGGCTTAGCACCAATAAACAGATTCCAAAAGTTTGAGTGTCGAATTTACCCTTGCTGTTGGATTTTGCAAGAGTGAGTGTAGTGTTCCTAGTAAATCACTCTAGGGGATTCAGGTTAAGAACTGATAGGAAGATTATATGAACTTTTTTCCGATGTACAGGCCAAATAATGTTTTGCTCTTTCATTTTGTTTTGCAGGGCCGCTATTATAGCGGGGAAGTAGTCAAGTCCTTCACAAGTCCATCACAAGTCCATCCCAAGTCCTCCAGTCCCAATTCAACTCACAAGCTCTTCAATTGAGCTTTTAATGACAAAGGCATTCCTTCGTTATTGATGATTCACTGTTTCTTGTGACTGGACTTTTGATGGACTTGCGATAGGCCCACCACGACCCCTTCGTGACGTTCCCTTCGCGAACGAGTTCGTGAGGAGTGTCCTTCATGCAGTCCTGATGGTTTTTCCTCATGTAAAACTTAAAGACGAGTGGGCAGCAAAATGCGGGTTTCCAACGCAGACCATCAGGAATGGATGACTTTAAATGATCAGTCATCAAGGGTCAACACTGAAAGAGACGACTTGCAAACATTGAAGATGACTTGGAGACGGAAAATAAGTTGTTTTCTTCCCCTCGAGTCATGAGTCAGGGTAGAGGACCGAGTGTTTGACTGCATTTGCCATTTGTGCAATTCAAGGAAACTTTCAGCCAAGTTTCAGCCCTTCTTTAATCACTTCGCGCCGGGTTTATATTTGCCGAAAAATTTCCAAATTTTCAGAAGGCAAAATTTCCCAGCCAACTTCTGATACACAGCCAAACGCTGCAAATACTGATGAGTGATTTCAACAGTACTTGTGCAATATTTCTTTCCGAAACTTCATATGTTTTAATACTCTAGGGTGTGCACTTAAGCGTAAATTGTAAAACAATAGGCCGCGCACAACGTCCCACACAATGGTCAGCACACAGTCCGCAACACGGACATTGTGTGTGTGTACAAAAGGCCTGAGGGACTAGCTTGTTAAGATGTCACCCGGAGGCGAGTCAAAGCCAATCCTGACGTCTTAATCTGTCGGCCGTGCCTGGGTACAAAAACAGCCAGTGCGTGTTATCACGGCCTCCGGCAGGAACTGGTTAACAAATACAATATGGGAGTCCAGATTTCCGGCAGAAATCCCAAAATGAAACTCCATGGCTTCTCCATAAAATTTCCTGGACAAATTTAGGGCTTTCCGTTACCAATTACTATAGAATCTTAAAAGTTAGAAGTTTACATTTTCCCCGCGATTTACCTGCAAGTATTCCTTGAGCAGTCGCATTTTGTACAGCCCCTTCCAATCGTTGCCCTCTCCGTACCCGCCTTCAATATCCCACGCATCCTGCGCATCAGTCGCGCCCTGGTTAGTCTCCTCCTCCAGCAGGCTCAGATACTTCTCGTAGTACAGGTTGTACAGCCGGCGCAAGTTCTCTCTTTCCTCGGCCTGCAGCTCGCGGACGACGCTCTCGTACTTGCGCTGCATCTCAGCCGCGTACTGGTTCAGGTCGTCGTCGGTCCCGAACCCGTACGTCTTCACCAACTCCTCGTAGGCCCGGTAACGCTCCTGGTATTCGTCCAGCACGGCCTGGTAGGTTTGGGCCAGGCGGTCCACGGTAGCCCACGCCTCGGCCTCTGCGTCGGTCATTGGAGATTCTGGCTGGTATCCCGGGGGTCGGAGTTCAGGGGCCACGGGGACGATACTCTGCCTGAAGGGGTCGAGGACTTCTCGAAGGGAATCCTGAAAAAAAAAAAAAAAAAAACGATGACAAACATCTGTTAACAAGTTTGAAAACATGTCCACTTCCTGTAGATTCAAGTGTTACATAAAGCTAAATTCTGTCAAATGGTTTACTATGCTTACTTGGTGCTAATTTATCCAAGAGCTTGAGAAAAAAAATTACGAGCTTACTTGGGTTGGACTCGAACCCACGAACATTCTGCTTACAAGTGCAAATGTCTTAACACCAAAAAATAAAAATACTTTTCAAAAAGGATCGCTTGTCAGGAAAATATTCAACAATCAAATTAAAAAAAATCCTTTCTGATCAGAAAGCTCACATTGAAATAAAAATTGATAATAATCTCATGAGCACATTACATCAAATATTATAATGTTTTCGTGCGACGTGCGAGATAATCTGACTTGCTAATTTGTGGGCTGCGGAGTGTGGACAACGTCCAGTGTGTGAATAGCCTGTCTGAGCCCAGGTGTCTAGAAAGCAATGAAATTAAGCCTACTGGGCATTTCATCAAGACCGAAGGCCAGTCATTAGTCTGAAGGCGTCTCGTACAACTGGTATTATTGCACTCACAAAAAGAGAAGAGTTACGTATTAATTTAGCATTTTCGAAAAATTTTCTCTTTTCTAAAATGTTTTGTTTCTGAGCATTAACAATTTTTGTTTTACATTGATGTTGAGAGGCTAAAAGGGATGAACTTATTAAAATGACTTGTTATTTGTTTGTTTGTTTGTTTGTTTATGGGGGTGTTTGTTTGTTTGTTTTTCTTTGTTTTGTTTTTCGTATTTTTTAAAGAGAGCAAACCCTCCTTCTCTGGCTGGCAATTTCAATAAGGCCAGCCCAGCAGCCAAAATAAATCAAGTGACTGTTTTTAACAGTTGAGTGCTCCCTGCCTTCAGAAAGCAGGATTGACTGGCTGTGATTGTTATGAAACCTGATATAGCTGCTTTGACAGTAAGAGATTGAAATACCAGCTGGGCCTACCAGTCACCTGCTTTTGTCTGTTGATGGAATTTGACTGTCACAGTGCCTACAAGAAATATGATCTGACTGTTGCTGACTAGCCTGTGTAAAAGGCATGGCAGGGGAACAGGATTGACTTTTTGACTGTCTCTGACTGATCTAACAAAAAGATGGTTTCAAAAAGCGACAAAGAGTGCATTACATTAGCCGGTCAATACCGCTCTTGTTAATGCATACCACGTTTTATGGATCTACGTGGACTTGCACTGCACGTATCCGCGTAAAGCTGGAAGCAAGCTGTTGACATAACACATCCATGTGTACATAAGCAACGAGATAACAGCGACACTTAAACAGAACATGTCGCCAAGTGACAATCAGTAAATTGATCATTTAAAGCGGCACTGCTGCTGTTTCGTATTAAAAAAAATTGTTTATTCTGTAAAATTATGTACACAGTTCTTAATACATTGTAAGTGGGTGATGTTCGTCCATGTTCAAGGACAAATATTTTGGGGATGGTATAACAATAACTTAAAGATCTTGTTTTCATTCATGTTTTGGAATTTGGGGTTACACAACTTTCCGTAAGTAAAAACGTTTTTCCCTAAAAAAAAAGGGGGGGGGAACACATCGTTATTAACATTCACAACACATACATGTACACACATCCAGCACTATGTACATGTTTTGTACATAGCAGATGTCATATCCTCCAAACCGTATTCTCGTCTCGTGCAACATCTTCAAAATTCACGACACAAACAGACCAAAAAAATTGTCTTCCACGCAAAAAAAAGTCTCAACTAAATCCAACACCATATGCCATTGGAAATGAGTAAGGAAGGGTAGTTGTGACTACATGACGTAAATTCTAGCATGAATGAGCGAGTGGGGTAAAAAAAAAAGATTAAGGTTGCCCGCGGCAACCGGAGGCTAATCACGCAGGAATTACTCGGCTCTGGATAGACACGGAGCAGCTTTTCTTTTCTTGTTTTTTCCTGATATTTTTTTTCTTCTGATTTTTTCTTCATCTTGAGGAAGCGCATTACGGCAACAGCTGGTGGGTATTATTGGGAAGTTGCATCTTCAAGATGCGTCGTCAACGGCAACCGAGGATGGATCCCGATTGCGAGCAAAATGAATTTTTCCAGAGAGCAGGTTTTTCGTCGTGAGATCGCAACAGTCCTTTCACTCATTTATCTCTGTCTTGCATTTTTTTCTCATCATTTTAATATGTACAATTGTACATTACATGTGCATGTACGCACAGGTAGTAAACGTATCGACTTTAGTTTGAAAATACAAAGATTAGAAAAAAGTTTGGGCTGTATATTTTTAAAGCAAACAAAAACAGTTGTTTAAGGTTTGTTCTTTCATTGTTTTCAGCAAACAGGAATTCATTTAATGTACATGCAGGTAATATTTTGAAATGTAATTAACATTATTGAAAGGACTTAGTTGTTTTAAATAATGTCTAAAATCTGGCACTGAAATAATATTTCATCTTTTAAAGTTTGGTGGGTTTTCTCAGGGGGGGGGATAAAAAAGAAAAATTTGAGGAAAATTTATAACTCTTACATTTTGGTCTGAATAGAATTATTAATGTGTCATCAGTTACAGACAACTCAAAAGTCTTTCTGAAATATGCCTGAAATTGGACAAAAAAATCAAGGAAAATTTTTTATTCAGATCCACAGATTCAAAATATGGATCCCTCATCGGTTGCGTCACCTCAGAAATTGTTATCCTGTCAGAAAAGATCATGTGACCACCCACTGATTTTTTTTTCTGTCTTCCCCGTAAACCAACCTGCGCATATTGATCTTCCCACGCGAAACCCTCGTCCAGTAGATACTGGACGACGTCCTTCAGTTGCTTCAGGCCGGCCGGGTCAAGCTTGTAGTTGGGCAGGAAGTTGGCCAAACGCTGCATGCAGGTGCCGAACAGTTGGTCTGTCACAAAAAATTTTTAAAAAATTAATAAAAACTTAGCATCCTATACTGTTATCATATTTGGGCTTTAACCCTCCTGCTATTAAAACAGTCACAGACAGCCAAAATGTCCATACACTTCCCGTGCTATACTTTTAACACAGGCTAGTCACCAGCAGTCAGATCACATGTCATGCAAGCACTGTGACTAGTCAAACTCAGTCAACAGACAGAGCAGGCAAGTAGGTCACAGCTGGCGTATCAATCAACCGGAGTCAAAGCATAGCTGTATCAAGTTACATAAACAGTCACAGCCAGTCAATCCTGCTTTATGTAGGATGGGAATTCTGAACTGTTGAAAACAGTCATCTGTTTGATTTTGACAGAAAGGACAACTTAGCACAGAATGCTAGCGGCCCAATTTCATAGAGCTGCTTAAGCAGAAAATTTGCTTAAAGGGAATATACAACATTTGCAAACATCGAAAAATAAAACTACCAAGTTTTTGCGAAATACCTTAATAGGACGTTGGTAAATGACAGTCTAAAGCATCCTGTAAAATTATGGCACCTGGTATACTGTCATTTTCAAGAAAAGTGGTATTTTTGTATCAATTTCCAACGCTGATCGGCCGATCAGCGTTGGAAACAACTGGCTTTTTTTCAAATACTGGCCCCAATTGACTATTGCACTTGTTTGCAATCGATTACAAACCTATGAACGGGTACGAGCCAGCTAGACTGGTTCCCTGACCTTACAATTCCCCAATGTATGTAAACTGCTCTGTTTCTTCTTATATGGAGTCAGGGAACCAGACTACAGGTAAATGATCGTTTTTCTTGGTTTTTATAGCATTTTCGAACCCAAAACCTCCAAAAAGTCAGTGTAACTATATTTGCTTTATATTTCCAATCCCCCAATTCCATCCATTTCTGAAAATTACAGCAAAAGCAAATGATGTATATTCCCTTTAAGCATGAAAAAACATTGCTTAGTAAAATTAGGTTACCGGCCAAAACTCCAAGTGATGTACATTGCTTGTGACTGGTATTTAGCTGTTGTTTACTTAGCATAACAATCGCATGGAGTTTTGGCCGGTAACCTGATTTTATTAAGCAAGACTTTTTTGTGCTTAAGCAAATTTTGTGCTTAAGCAGCTCTATGAAATTGGCCCCTGATCATATACAAATGTAGAAAGGGCAATTCCATGGGAAAGTGGACAATTTTCACAGGATTTGGGAAGACGTTTTCCTGTAAAGGTCAGAAAAATCTTGAAAAAACATCCTGATAGCTTGTGGCAGACCTGGGAGAGTTAGAGTTGTAATGTGATTTAGAATAAATTCTTCAAACGAATTTACTGGCTGTTTGCAATGGAAGCCAGCAGTGTACATGATGACATGCATTCAGACAACTATTGACAACATTTATTACATTTTGCCGCTGGGTGATTAATGTTCATGCAGAGGATGATTGAATCCATTGTGAGGTTGCCTCCGGCAATGTGGAAACTGTTTGAACGGACCCATTCATGCTTGATCATTTCATTATGAAAAAAACTCTGCACTTCGCCAACTATGGCTTTGTCCACACATTTCTCCTGCCGCCAAAGGCTTATGAGCTGTAACGGACCGTGACACTCATCAACTGCTCCCAGTGACAGGATACCGAGGCACTGAAAGCAATTAACACACAAAAATGGTCATCAATTGTGATAAACCATCCTGCTCAAGGACACTAATTCACGGCCATGGCGGACCTACCTTCTGCACACACTTCATCTTCGTCGCACACTGGGCTGAAGCGACACCCTGTGAAACAAAAAATAATAAAGAGAAACTGACATTAAGTCCAGTTGATCGGAAAACTAGTATTTGTCGACGGTAATTTTTGTGTCAAGGGCGGTTCATTGTCTCCATCCTTAGCAGCTTAAAGATATTGTCCATCATTTGTAATTTGTGCATTTTGTTCGTTTGAAGCAACAAAAGTGTTCAAAATCTAATGAAGGATACTGAACAACTAACTTGATGAAGTTTCAGCTAAGCTTCAGCTGTATATTCCGAGAAAAACAGCATTCTAGGATCTCAATTTCAAATCAAAAGTTACTGAATCATGTTTTGAATTGTTTTGAATTGCAGCTATACGCGATGTCGGGCAGCGATCCGACGAATTATAGCAATCGCGCGCGCGTGTGCGTCGTGCCAATGCTTGCGCACGCTTCGCCGAATAACAAAACGAACTACTAATTTAAATTTTCATACGGTGCGTCTTAAGACGCACCGTTGGAAAGGCCTTCTTTCGTTGATTACTTCAAAATGACAGCTTCCCAGAATGAACAATTTCACAGGGAGTTTAGTCCCCTTACTATCTTTCAACCAAGTTTGTTTTTCAACAATAATTACGCCAGTTACTTTTCGGATGGCTGCAAATGATGGACTATAGCTTTAAAGCCCTTAACAGTTATAAAACACTTACTGCATAATACTCCAGCAACCCATATTGATTCGCCGATGCAAATTTCAACTGACACGCTCTGCGTGCAACTTTTGACCGGTGCGGCACGCAGTTGCAGCTGGCAGTTTCGAATATCCGAATGTTCAGTCGAAAGCAGTTTCAAGTAATCGAATACTAAATTATTCGGAAGTGGACAACCCTAACCTATGACCTTAAACCTGACTGAATAAAGATGTACAGAGGAGTCTTGCATGTGAAGGCTAATTGAAAATTTGCTGTTACGCTGGTTATGTTTGTTTTTGGGTTTTTTTAACAAGGACACACACTGTCATATATCCATATATCCAAAAATGAAAAATGGCTGTTCCAAACAAAAATATATTTAAAGGTTCCGGTAGAGTAGATCATTTGCAAATATCCAAAAAGTAACTGACAAAATTATTGTTGAAAAGCTTACTTGGTTTAAAGATAGTAATGGCACTAAACTCCCTGTGAAATTATTCTTTCTGGCATGCTGTCATTTTGAAGAAAACAACACAAGGAAGGCCATTTCCAAAGATGAGCCAAGTGGCGCCTTTTTGGAAATTTCTTTTAGTAGTTGGTTTGTAGTTCATGAATGGGGTGGGCGCAAAAGCGTTGACATGACGCATGCGTGTGCGGTTGCTTTTATTTGTCAGTTCAGTGCGTGACATCGCACACATGTACCGGTAGGATCAGCTGAATGAGAATGTGTCCCATATGCCGATTTCAAAATATGACTGGGCATTTTTTAAATTGTAACTGAGATCCTGGAATATTGTTTTCTCATAATATACAGCATTCACAGAGCTTAAACTTCATCAGGTTAGTTGTTATATAAGCACCGGTCTTTAGGTTTTGAGCACTTTTGTTGCTGAACATACGAAAAAAATGCACAAATGACAAATGATCTACATACCTTCATGACCTTTTAACAAAATGGAATATTTTTTATACTGTATACATGTAAATGTGGACACGGCAGAGAGCAAATTGAGACACAAACATGTATGTACACTGCTTGGACAAAATCAGCGGTCATATTGTTGACTGTTAGATTTTTTTTTCCTAATTCCGAACGCAGTTTAAGGACCAAATTTAACTGAACACGTCCGGTTTTGTTCGGACATTTTTCAACATATTTATTTATCTGAAAATGTCTGATGACCGCCCACTGTTTAAACTTACATGTGGGTGGCGTACTGTAGGGCGTCAGTCGTTTGTCTACAATAACAAATCCCACACTGACGCAGGCAAGATTCAAATAGTGGCAAAATTATATGACCGCTGTCAAACGCTGATTGCAAAAACACAATCCACCTTGTAATGGGTTGGACAATATTGTGCATGTACCGTGTAAGTATGGTAATTACATAGCAGATCTGGCATTGTCTCCTTAGTTCTTGTGTCACGCATGAGATACAAGGTAATTACTGGGCTGTCAACTACAGCATGCAACAACAACAACAAAATATAACCCAAAAAAAACTCAAACAAAATTGCAAGTCTTTTGCCAGTATACGAATTGGACTTGTGTTCGCATACGATAGGTGACTACGTACATTGTACATTGTACACATGTAATACATGTGTGACTTGTTCCAAGGTCTGCCAATGTCAGTGAATTACAGTACTCTGATGAAATATTTAAACGTGTGTCAAGCAAATGCATGAATATGTAATTAATTACTGAAATAATTCATGTCAGTAAAATGGGATGTTGGGTTAATTGTCGCAGTGCAATATTGGTCATGCACATTTTGTACAGTTATGATGTGGGATATTGCTCGATTCTCAAAGGCCATTTTTCACTTGAGAGAGCCCCCCTCCCCTCCAAATCCTGGCAGCAACCTCTCTAAATGCGCACTTGATGCCTGATCAAGTTTGGTTAATTTCACAGTGAAATATTATTCATGTATGACGATGGACATTGTTTTTTCGCAAATAAGGCCATTTTTTTACTTGAGAGAGCACTAGTCAATACAAATTATAATACATACTGTGCGCAATTTCATAATTATTAAATGCAATTGTGTCCTTCCTTTTTCCAGTGACTTCCCCCGTCCCCCCATGAAAATGGAAAGAAAGGAAAAAACCCGGACAAAGAAACGCACCCTTTTAACTTGAATGTTTTAATTTGTGTTGTCCTTTTTTTATAGTCTATTTTACCAGGGTAACCCCATCAGCTATCAAAGAACTGTTCTCCCTGGGTGCGTACCGATAGGTCTCTCCAGGGACCTTGTCAATGACTATAATAAATGTCTAAAAATGCACTTTGTTCTTTTCCCTTCCACCCCCCCCCCCCCCCCTTAAAGAATGAGAAATTAAAAAAAAAATTAAACACACACGAAGAAACGCACCCTTTTAACTTTCCGATTTGTTTGCATCGCTTCAAGCATCCCCTTTTCAATAACTATAAAAAAAACGTCTAAGCGTTTGAAAGACGTTCCAAAAATCACACAAAAGAACACACTCTTTTTTTTAAATGCACTTATTTTTTGTACCTCTGTCCTTTTCAAGAACTTTTAAAAACATCTGGGTACTTACATTAATGCCTGCCACAAAAAAACCCCTGAAAATTGAAAGAAATTCCAAAAATCACACAATGAAACACACCTTTTTAGCTTTGCGATATTTTTGTGTACCGCTGTCCTTATCAATAACTTTTCCAAATGTCGGAGTGCATTTGTGCACCCCCTCCAAAAAAAATAATACCCTGATAGTAATTCCAAAAATCGCACAAAAGAAACACACCTTTTTTAACTTGGTGATTTTGTTGTATCGCGGCCCTATTCATTTATGTAACTATAAAAAATAAAAAATTGAGAGCGTTTTGTGAATGAAGTCCGTTACGCAAGTCCGCGCTCTAAAATCTCTATTATTATTCACCAACAAACTAAATCCATTGTAAAATCAACCGTTGAAATGAATCTCAAACACGAGTAAAAAAAAAAAAACGACGTCCTTCCCCCGAGGTACAGGGACCAAATAACAGGAAAAATGCTCTCATGTTTCATTCTGTCCCCAAAACAAAACCAACATATGGCTTGAAAAATAGTCCTCTAAAACTAACAAAAAAACGACGATGTCAAAAGAAACAAAACCGACACGAAGAAATTCTGTCAGTGCTTTTAACGCCCACATGTTGTATACACCCACACACAGGCATTGTATTGACTCAATGCTAGCATCGTGTCCGTGGAAGGTCAGAAATATAGCCGGCGTAGTTGACGACACTTGTATTCCGAGTAGGGCATACAATAGAGGGATTTCGCCAGCGCGGAGATAATTTCAACATCCATTTACACGCTACTGACGCAAATGTGACAAGGGAGCGTTGGGGGGGGGGGGGGGATAGGAATGCATGTAGGTTGCATTGGATTGCCAGAAATGATAATGTCTGTCAGGATTATATATAATTTTTTACTTACTGCAGACAATTGCACGGATGACTGCATGTTGTTGTGGAAGAAGATTTATCAATGGTTTTTTCCTCAAATTTAGGCTGGAGAAATTCACAGTCTGGTATGTTGCAGATGATACTTAATAATTCATAAGGTTTCATTTAAGCAAAAATGTACATGAAATGTACGATGTGATGAATCAGCGGATGTATGACATAAACATGTACAAGTATTTGGAAAAAATTTGAAATTTTACGGTTTCTACTTGTAGTCATATTTTTTATATTTACAAACATTTAAATTTCTGACAGATACATGTATGGATACATGTACATGTACATGTATGTGTACACATGTTGTGAACAAGTACATTGTACATGTACATGGACATGGACATGTACATGTGGATGTTGAGCACTGAACATGTTAAAAACCTCTGTATTTTCAAAATTTACATGTAGCTGAACCACATGTTGGAATTTTGATCAAGTAGAGGTTAATGTACATATGACTACCGTACATGTACGGTATGTACATTTTCTCATGCATACCAGTTAAACCTGCTCATTTTTTAATGGCCAAACAAGACAAATTATCACACCAAGTGTCATTCATTTCACACATGCCCAATTGAGTACATTTTAACCAAGATCATCTTGCATTTATAACATGTATAATTCGACAACATAAGGACGCATGTCAATACACCTTCACAGGGCAAGCCGCAAATTTCTCTGACCGCGGCTCGGACGAGAGAAAGGAAATAATTAGTGAGCGGCACGCTGTGTCTTCAGCTGCTGTGACCCAGGGGAGACATGAGAGAGCACAGGGGCGAACACACAGGGGTGCGCAGGGGGGCGCAGTGTGTTACCCAATTAATAAGGGGGACGAGGAATATTAATTTGGGACTCAAACTCAATTTGTGTCAAGAGTAG